TTTCTGGCAAAGAACACATTCGTAAGTTAGCATTAAAAGGATATTGCTGATATACGTGCAGTATTATGCAGATCTGTTTTAAGAATATTACATTCTTTGTCAAACCATTTTTTCTTTGATTTACGTTTAACATTTCCACCCATTACTCTTTCGTTTATGTTTAAAAATCTGACTGGCTGCATTATTAATAACTAAATTAAAATCTTCTACAGCAGTATTAATTCCTTTCTTATCTATGCTATAAATTTTATCAATAAATGACTTTACAATAGCTTGAACCTTCTCAGATGCTAGATTATCCTGGTAATCGAAGACTGACAATCTATCCCAAACCCAACTCTTTGGTAAATTATTTAAAGTACCTGTGTTATTTATCGGTATATCAAGTGCATTCTGATCTAATCGTAGTAAGCACGATATCTGGCAGTGGTCTGATGTACATGTAAAATCATGAACTTTAAAATATTCAATGCTGTCAAATATGTTTAGTGAGGTTATGGCATAATCAACAGTGCTTATTCCATTGTAATGGTAGCATGTAAAATTGCCACTGGAATCTCCGGGCATTCTTCCATTTAGAATTCTGATGTTACAATTTTTACATAATTCTAATAATGCTTTGCCATGTGCATTAATGGATGTGTCCCTGTTATTACGAATTGTTGGTTCTGATATGTCATCATCTAAGTAAGAATTAGGTCATGGTGTAAATCTATTATTATCATTATCAACATAATCAGGTAGTGTACCTGTTCTATTGATCTCCGAGTAGAATAATGTTGCCTTTTTTTGAAAATTTGGATATTTCATTCTGTAAAATGTCAAAAAAGTCTGATTTGCAGTGGCTTGAGTTTGAAGGTGGATGATAAGTGAAGCACAAGTAAATGTCTCTTGTAAGGTTAAAAAAGTTCTTCTTCATTCTACACCATAGCATATCCTCAAAAGGTGTATCTTCAATTGTGATGCCCTTTTTAAGATGTTGTTTTATGGCAATTGATATTCCTCCTCCTCGTTGCTTGTTCCTTGTTATAGAGTAACAATAGTATCCAGGTATGTCTATAGTGTTAGATTTTGAACTCAACCATGTTTCTCCTAGACCAACGATATCATGGCAATTTATATTTGCTATAAAGTCATCATCTTCTAATTTCCTTCCTAAACATTGAATGTTCCAATAGGAAATTGATAATGCTCTTTTTGAAGTATTAACTGTCTTTTTTTGGTAATACATTATTTCTTGAGTTGTGGTCTCTGACCATACATTTGTGACCAATTTGGCTGAAAGTGTTGTCCATGAAATGACATAAGATTAAATGGAAATAGGTTTCCATATGGTGGATACATATATCCATTATTGGTTTGTTGCTTTGATTGATAATTGTTACTTCTATATTTGTTGTTTTTTCTTTCTATTCTTTTCACTCCGATGAGTGGTCCAATAACATCTTTCATGTTCTTCACTATTGCTGCAGTACCTTGATCATTCAGGTGAACTGAATCCATTAAGTGAATATCAGGTTTGATGTTACTATTATCAATGTATGATATATTATCTCTGCTGATATTCTTCAACTTATTGTTGAGAATATCTATGGTCTTGTTGGTGGTAGTATCACTTCTCTGTGTGATTGACGAAATGCAGATTTTTGTTGATGGATATTTCTGTTTGATGTTGTCAACCATAGTAGTGTAATCTTTTATACATGATTCAATGGTACAGCCATCAGAGATATTGTTAGTGCCTGCATGGATAACAATATTCTGGATGTCTTCTACTGCATAATTCTGTATGTAAGCATCAATATCTGCTATCTTACGACCACGAAGAGTTTTAATGAAAGTTTGTTTGTACATACGTCTGGGATCTATGTTCTTCAACATGGAATCGCCGACTATTAATGTTTGGATGGTTCTTGTTCCATAATTCTTTCTATATTTCACTGACTGAAAGCTTTTACTTTTATTATCTTCTGAAGCTACCTGGTTTGTACTGGTGTTTTCCATTGATAGGACATGGAAAGGATTAGGAGACTGGAAGTCTTGCAAATTAGGTTGTAAATCTGTAATTTTCTGTTTAAGTTTCCCATTTTCCAGTCTTAATATCTCTATTTCCTCTTCTTTCTTTTCTAATTGTTGTTGGATAAACTTACTATCTAGCAGAAGTTTGGAGAAAGCATCCTTTTGTTTCTGTATGCTTGATTTTGTTAATTCTTGTGAGGTAGATATGGAGGTTAGAGCTTTGTTGTTGATGTATATTGTTTTTTCTATTGCTGCAACACAACTCTCAATTTTCTCTATTTTACTCATTAGTTTCACCATATCTTCTTTGTTGCCTGTTTTGTCACCAGTTTTTCCAGTTGATATATAGTGTTCTGTTGCCTTGTTTGATCCATCTGTTCTGATCTTGTTTTCAAGTAGTTTGTTGATTTTCTGTATTTCTTTTGATTGGCGGGTGATGCAGTCTTCTACATTTTTCAGTTTATCTGAGATTTCCTGAGTGGTGTGGTCAGCTCGTATAATACTGCAATAGTTTTTGTCTATCTGCTGGATTGACTTGAACATTTGAGCTAAGGTGGCTGCTAGTTCGGTATTGTCTAGTGACCCTCTGTTATTCAATGTTGGTGTTCCTGATATTCGACATGGAATTCTTGATGGACTATCACATGTTATTTTAGTGAGATTACGTTTTGTAGATTTTGGTGTTCTTACATCATTAGTTTCTTTTGACGTCTTTGATTTTGAAGGCGATTTACTTTTGCAAGTCTTTTGGATATTACTTCTTATGTCATCAGTTTGATCTGTTGTTAGTGTACTTGTACAATATTTTCTTGATCTAATGTATC